ATCATTTTCATGAATGCCACGCATAGCAAACTTTAAATTATTATGACTGCTAACCAAGCCAAACGGCTTGACTGTTCAAGGAAGGTTGTATACCCAGTTCAAGCAAGCATTTCAGCATTTATTTTTTCTTCTATTGGGCAAAAACACCCTTCATACATTTGACTGGAGCCCTTCATTCTGTCTTTGAAACTCCAGCTTTAAAAATGATTGTTGTACTGGAAAGCTGTTTTTATTTTATTGAGTAATTTTCTTACTGTCGGCTTACTCCTCATGGATTAAGAAGTTGTTCACTTGTTTTTCTCTTTTTTTGATTGTAGAATGACCAAGATATTGTAGCGGCCATGAAATTTGCGTGGACCAGATTGAAGGTGAGCATCACCCAAACATTTGTTGCCAAGCTTGTATGTCTTTTAATTATGTTGTGATAAGCCGCTTTCATTTGTACTCAAAGCAATTGATCTGGCTAACTTGATGTGAGAGATGCCAGTAAGAGTTGAACTCCATCGCAAAAAAGGAGTGAGTCTATTGCGATTATCCTCATGCAACAAGTAACTTTTAAAGGGTAACAGAAATTGAAAACATTTAGTTCACGTAAAATATTTCAAAATAACAGTAAATACGTAAGCATTTCAAAAACATCGTAAATTGAATGTTTACCCCATTAATTGTGACCCCAAAGTGAATAAAGGTTCCTGCGTTTCCGCGCCCACAAAAAATTGCCTTTTGACCGTTTACATGGTAGGAGTGCGTCTTTTAATTTCTACTTTGAACTGAGACAGTGTTTGCCTGTGGGCCAAGCTACATCAAACACAACGTGGTCTATTGCAAGCGTGCGATACTGCATGTACTGTGTGCAACGTACGGGTACACTGTACATGTCGGCGTTCTGGCGATGAGGTCATCCAATCAGCCTGGGAGCGTGAATGGCCAAAAGGCAATTTTTTTGTGGGCTGGGATACGCAGGATCTTTTTATCCATTTTGGGGTCACAATTAACAGGATAAACATTCAATTTAAGATGTTTTTGAATGGTTACATATTTATTGTTATTTTGAAATACTTCAACTAAATGTTTTCAATTTCTGCTACCCTTTAATGTGTGAGCACATTATGCATGCATATCACGTCCTGTGTCATTTTCATGAAACTCTTCCCTCTGCTGCCATCCAACACTCATTCCTTGGTTCACTGACTTTGAGTTTGGACCATCAACAAGGGATTCATCGTCCTGCAGAAGTAATTACAACTTTGGAAGAATCATATTGAAGCAAAGTAGCTTGCTCAAGGACACAAACATAGAAAATACTTCATTTGATTGTTGGTATCCACTGGCACATTTCTCAAGTAAAGAGGAAGTCACTGACATTAAGACAATTCTCATATGTTAAAATGGTGAGATCTCAAAGAAATGGTTCTACTAGGGTCGTTCAGGTGACTTGTGCTTTGGTCAGGAGCAGGTGCCCTGTGGTTGGACTATAGGCAGCCCTCGAAGTAGCCTCTTGCTACACTTTATGCCCACTCCAGTTATTCACCGATAGAATGACTCGTGACTGGGTTTATTCTGGTTTACCCCCCAGTTGTTAATTGAGCCAGCAGCTGCCACTGGCGTGGCCGCCCTTTTCTCAGAGCGGATGAGAGAGATGGACCCCGCCATGGAGAAGGTGGCAGTCATTCTCTGCGGAGGCAATGTGGACCTGGAGAAACTGCCTTGGCCGCAGGTGCAGCCTGAGTAAGATTCCTGACACCACCTTGATGCAGTCTTAGGCATGCAGAATTGGACATTGGTGGCTTTCTGGATGCAACCCGTATATAGCTAATTGAGGGTTATGAACCTGTGTCACAGGTTTGAAGAAAATAAATTACATTTCTCCAAGTCTAAACAATGCCTCCAACTTACAAGAGTTGCAAAAGTGATTTGTCACGGGTCAAAACAATGGTTTCTGAAAAGGCTCCACAACACTTTGTGTCAAGTGTGTACGTAGAAAACTACAAATTTAAATATTTAAGTAAACCTTTTGTGAGTTAAATTAGAATAAAATCTGGTACACTGCGTTCTTTGAATTCATGTGAACATAAAAATTTAATTTGATTCTCCATACTAAAACCACTGTTGCTATACCTCTTCATTCGGGCCAAGCTTTTGCTTAGTTACATAAGAGGCGCCTTGCAACAATACACTGTTCTCAATGGATAAGAAGGGCACAAAGGAACCAGTCCATTCCAGAGATGGTGGTCACTATGCAAAAGCTTGCCCCGAATCAGGAGGTATAGCAACAGTGTCTTTAGTCTGGGGAATTTAAATTGTTATATTTATGTGCAGATAAGTCAGTGTACCAGATTTTATTTAAATTCAACTCACAAAAGGTATGATCACCAGATTGTTTTGATCTATCAAGTTAATCGAAAACATCACATATTACCTTCTGTGAAAGAAAGTAATTCCGGCATTGTACACAGTGAATGTATTTTTACTCCCTGTGCTGTGGACGTTGCGCATAAGACCTGCCTTAACCACTTTCCTGCCGGGGCATTTCTCAATGTTGATGGTGCTGGGCCGGCATAATTATCATTTTTTTCCGTTTTCAAAATGCTTCAAAAATTCATCATTTCATTTAACGGACGTTTGTAGCTGCACGAAGTAATCTTTGGGCACTACTCTAAGTTGACAGGTGACCTTCATTGATGCCCGAGTATTTCAGCCAGGCCTGCAGCCTTGTAAAAAGAGCCCAGATTGTGCGGTGTTATGTAACTTTCTTTTGTTCAAGAACCTGGCTCAGTGCACTGCTGACCTCTTTTCAATAGGGGCCAGATTAGCATGCAGCGGTGCTGTGTGGCTCATCCCTGCAGTGGTGGAGCGCTTTTGTCCCTGGTGGTAATCCTTTTGCTATCAATGCCCCAAACCCTGGTATACGGTTTCAAAACAAGGCTGGATTATCACCACTTTTGAGAGTGAAAAATGCCGATAATGCCCAGCAACCTGGTCTTTTGTTTGGAGTACGGTCTTTTGTTACAGCGCCCTGTTTCCTTTGTCCGAGTTCGGAGACCCCGGCCACACATATAAAGCATATGTCTCCAATTCCGGAGTCCCCGGCAGGAAGTGGTTAAAACAACGCAGACATGTGATGGCATCTGGGATTGCACACATTCAGATGAAAATTGCAGATGCCACCTACTGGTCCGGAGTCTTGAGGACCGGAGGAGGTTCTTAATCCCCTACATCATTCATCTTATTGTTGTCAATCTTACTTCATTGTCGGTGAATGAACTGTCTTCCAAGGAGATCTGTAGACAGGTTCTTTAAACTTTTATAGCTCCATATTATTCATCTTATTGTCAATCCTGCTTGGTTTTCAGCAAGTGAACTGTCTTCCAAAGTGATTTAACTGGATTTCTTGTTTATAAATTTGATTTTGAAGAAAAGCTGACATGAGGCTCAAAGAGTTCTAGAGTCCCATGCAGGCATTTGGGGTCAGTGAAAAATGGTTTTGGAAAGTAACTTGTATGAAAAGTGAAATTCAGTGCCTATTAAGGTGGTTATTTGTAATAAAGAAGTGACAAACCAAATACAACAGAGCATTTAAACTACCAACACTTTCATGTAAACAGCGGAAAGAAAATCATAATTGAGGAAAATAAACAGAAAAATATTACCATGTGAACACAGTTTTCAATAAGGGGAGCCAAGCTATCAAGTAAATCGTTTGCAACCTGTGAGTCATTTCTGGCCAGGTTTATTTCAAAGCTCATTAATTTGAAGAAAATTTAAATACATCTTCCTACATTGTTTGATCTCCACCAAGGCTCAAGGGTGTGTTGTTCTTGCAAACAGATAAGTATATATAATAGAGAAATATATTCTGGTGCCATGCAAAGATGCCATCTTCAGGCTCTTTGTGATGCAAGGCACATGGTTTTGCAGCCTACCAATCACATTAATCGGTTTATGTACATTCGCATATTTCAGTGGTCTGGTCCCCATATGCATGTAGTACTGTTATAATTTAGGCACTGCATGTAGGTGAGAAGAGCCGTAACAGACTAATCTACTTGGCCCTGCCCAACGTTACCACATGTTTCTCTCTGATGCAGTGTGTGGCATTGCTTGGTCACATCATGGGGCTATTAAACACAAGGAAACAGCACATACAGATATCAAAAGGGTCAAAATGTCATAACTGACTTTAAAAACGTCCGACTTGTGCCACATAACCACCGCTGATTTGGAATTTTCGAGCACATCTGCGGAGATTACTCGCTGACTCCTGACGGCTACTGAGGAGAACTGCGCATCTTCTTTGTGCATCTTTTCCACCATTTATTTACACCAGTATGCCACAGCAAAACACAGCGAGTCTGTGGGTTACCAACTAACCTGGTGGTGGCAATCACTGTGTACAAAGAACGTCTAGGGTCTTCAACACTGGGGCTGGTAACCGCGCCTTGTCTATGGAGCCGACCGGAGTGGTTAATCGGATTACGGTCTGTAAGACTTTGTTCTAACGCCTTGTGTTTGATGGCTCTACGGTCACATGCAGGTGTACATGTACTGGACATAAATCACAGTCGTGATTGGTTGAAAGACCATGGGGTGGGGCCAAATGGATCAGTCTGCTGGAATCCATATACATGTACGTTAAATTTTATATCAAATGAAGTTGACATATTAACCCCTTCGCTCTGGGAGACAGCAAGAGCGACGGCTTTGTGTGAGGATTAGTACATACCACACAGTCTATTCACCATGCAGCTGCTGGTTCAATGGGGCCTGCTGATGGACAAAGCCCTCCATTCAGGGCATACCACAGCCCAGCAGTCACAGTCAAAGGAATTACCGGCACGAAGGGGTTAAGAGATTACAAATATTTGAAGAGACCAGCATAATTGAGATACTACTCCAGAGTATAGAACAAGTGCAAGTAACCAAGAGTGGAACATCAAAATGACCAAATGAACTTGTACAAATACAGGCTGTCACGGGAGGAAAACCAGGTAGACATGATGGAAGTAAATTTGAAGTCTTTAATTTCTTATCCATCTTTTACCACTGGGAGGAACCCTAGGTCACATCCATGCCAACACTTGAACAATGTAAACAAGGTGAGAAGTGCGCTGTTTCCGTCTTTGTGATCATCTTATATCTATCTCATTTGTATAAATGTACAAAATGATGAAATCATTTAATAAAAGCAAATGCGAGAAATGTGGCAAGTTTTTTTTAATCACCGTGCCCATTTTTGCCAAATAAATTGTTCAAAAAAGAGTTCAAACCTTTGCATATGAAATGATATTTCAGTTAGAGCTATGTACAGAGCTTCAAACCGGAATGAAACCAATCCATGAAGGCCTCATTCATGACAAAAGGTGCATAAATTAAATGGGGGTGTGGGGGCAAGAGCGTTTTGAGATTCAGCTAATGAAATTACTCTCAACTTGTGGTACCAACCAAACAAAAAGGTCTGTAGTGGACACTCTGTGACTAGACAGATGCTTCACAGGCTCATGGAAAATATACAGTGATGCCAACGAATTACTGGCTATGCACCAATGTTATCTTTGAACGTAAAGCTACACTGTTTTATGGAAAAAAACAATTATTGGAAGGGAAGACTTGCATGTATAACAAAAGCTTGATCTTACTTGGTAATACTTGAGATAGTGGAATGTTTAGAATTGACCTGTACACACATGCAAACTCAGAAATAGCATTCTACACTTAAGCATAAAATAGTGGAATTGAAGGTTTCCGTATTTTTGTTTAAAGTGCTGCCCGTAACAACAACAATCTACCAGGCCCATTCGACCTTTTTGTCATTTCAAGAAAATGTGCACTTCTTTTCTGCTACTTAATTGCTTGATAACTGAAAACAGGCACGTACACCAGGGAAGCGAAGCACCAAGCTTTTCTTAGCTGCGGTCACTGCTGATGATTGGACGGCTTGTCTGCCCACTGCCTACAGATTGGCGTACGTGTTGTACAACGATGTCTTGCTGGGGCCCCTCTTCAGTGTTGGCTTTTTCTTTTGGGCCGCTGTCACTTTCTTCACCATGTCCACCATGCTCACCACGTTGCCCTTTCGGGTCCGGAAGAACATCATGACGACTGGGGAAATGAGGGCGCACTCCACGATCTGCACTAGACTGTACCAACCTGGGCCATCCAAACAAAACACGGGTTGAAAAGTGCCACTCGTGGCTGAAATTGGCAGACAAATCTGCGAAACATTCTTGTATACTCTGAAAGTCCCTAGTAACAGAAGGTTTGTACTAGCTAATGTGATAAGCCATTTGCGAGTTAAATTTGAATAAGATCTGGTGCACTGAGTTATCTGACTGCACATAAACATAACGATTTGAATTCCCCAGACTAAATACACTGTTGCTATACCTCATGATTCGGGGCAAGCTTTCGCATAGTCTTGGTTTCAAGACGTTAGTGCTTGATAGCGGACACCGTGCATTGTGTGCCCCCTAACGACTCACAATTAGACTGTGTGCCAGCTCGCACTAACGTCTTGGGAATCTTGCAGCAGCGTTTTACCTTGTTCTTTATTTTTCCCTTGGCTTTCCAAGGGAACCAATCAGCACTCGTTAAATTGCATGCATAATAAATTTGGATGACCTCAATAATACACCATAGCATGGTCACATGCATCATGGCTGTCTGCAGTCCCGTCAACACAGACATGACAACCCAGACGTTCGTACAGAGTTAGCACGGAGTAGAACGGGTGATACTCGGACTAGGTTAGGCCTAGGATATGACAGAGGATGCTGTTCTTGGTGACCCATAATCATGTACAGTCAGTATGCCCTCCCCAGCTAACTAAAGCGTCCTTAGAGACCATATAGACCTTAACCTTCAAGGACGGAGTACCCGGACAACAAGTTGGTTGTCGTTTTCTTGCTGAACGTGTAGGGTTAGGTGTCGCTTGTGTGAGTAATCTGGCCTCATCAGGCCCAGCATGCTCATTGTGAGTTGCAAAAAACGAGAACGTATTTATTGTGTGATATCAGACAACGATTTTGTTTTCCCGATTTTTCTGCCACAAACGTGACGCGATGCAGCACAACTGTAGTCCCCAACGATATCTTTTAGAAGAGTGGCAATTTCATGTCTAGTATGGAGTGAAAAATATGTCTTACATGTCACTAATCCCTTCCCACAAACCAGACACTATCGACATCTTACTTGCTTGCGTGAAGCCGCCATGTTGTTCCAACTTCGAAATACATGTACATAATTATAATACCAAGGCTATAAATATTTAAGAAGATCGGACATTTGCATACAACTGCCACACCCCATTCTTGCAAGATTCCCAAGACATTAGTGAGAGTAAGTAAAATCTAGGTGTGCGAGGGCGCTCTTCAACAGAAATAAAACAACTATCGATCACTGACGTCTTGAGCCAAGACTAGCTTTCGCATAGCGACCACCATCTCTGGAATGGACTGGTTCCTTTGTGCCCTTCTTATCCACTGAGAACAGTGTATTGATGCAAGGTGTCTCTTATGTAACTAAGCAAAAGCTTGCCCCGAATGACGAGGTATAGCAACAATAGTGAGAAGAATTAGAGTTATGTTCACATGAATTTAAAGAACTCAGTGTACCAGATTTGGGTCAAAGTTAAGGCTTAAAGTAAAAGGCTTATTGGCCTGTCATTGTTTTTGGAGTGAACATACGGCTAGACTCCGCCATATAGTTGAATGGCATCCATATTGGCTGTTCAGCAGCTATAACTGTAGACAAATGACTGCAGCGAAACAGTTTCTAACCTTCAGTCCATGCCAAACCAAGTTGTATTCTGCCTGAAACTTTTCTCACCTTGTTAGACAAGTTGTGTCATTTTGCAGATAGAAAGGGGTAATTTTTACCCCCTGAAAGGAGGTACAAGTCTCATGCAAGTCATGACAATGACTTAAACAATGCAACAATCTAAAATTCATGTGATTATCACTGCTTCAGAACAATTAGGAACTTTTTTCCCTTTTAAAATTTAAATCCTTTTAAGAATTGAAAGTATTCGGACGAGCCTTCTTGAAACTGCACATTGCTCACCGTTAGCTCTGTTGGGCCCATCAAACGGCAAGACACACTTGATGGCGCCGCTAGTCGTCAACAGTCCGATGATGACCATCTGGACGTCACTGATCAGGAAGCCGGCAAACAGCAGCAGGCACTTGGGTGTCAGGTAGAAGCCCTTGAGGAGGGGCTTAGAGGCATTGTGGAGGATGTACAAGGCGCACATGTAGACGCCCCCCGAGATCAGGACCAGGATGTAGATGACGATGGAGCCATTCTCTGTCGTCATCTGTGGTAAATAATCAGCCAGTGCAGTATTTCAAAACAGGCCAGGTCAATGGAGAAAACATGCATGCCTGTCGGCGTATGGCTGCACTGATAGGGAAAACTGTCACATGTTGTGTATTGCTGTCCCCAAATGACCGTGGACTCATTTCCTTTTAGGCATTGCGCCTTTGGAATATTAAATATACTGAATGCGCCAACTAAGTCATGTGACCTTCAGTGGGCATCAAACATCAATAATCATGGTATCCTTAAATGGCAAAGTGAGTCATAAGTTCTGTTTACCACAATTAAAAAAAAAAAGATTTTCGGTATAGTGCTCAGCACATCAGTAGAGTCTGAGTAATTTACCGACTGCTGGCTTTAATTTTGGTAAATGACACGGCACCCTTTGCTATGGGAGGATGATAAATTTGCTTTTTGAGTGATACTGAATGCATTTTAGTCGTCGGAAGTCTGAAAAATTCTTCACAATCCATTTTAATTTCTTGCTCAGCACAAAAATGTGGGGGAGGGGATGATTCAATAACTCACCCCCCCTCAAAAAGTGTGAGGAATCCCCCGCGGGATTTACGCCTATGGGTTCATGTCACTAAAAGCTAGCCATACCGTGGTTTGGCAGGTGTTGAATTCAGATAAGCAGAGCTATATGCTCACAGAACTGAAATTTGTGATAGCACTCAGTCTGTTTACATGTACATGTCACATCACAGGGAGAGTTCTAACAAACCCAATGCAATATCCGTCCTATTTGTGTTAGATGCCTATCAAGCACGTAGAAACATGATCATTTAGCTGACAGACATATACCGAGCTATGAAACAGAAAAATGCCTTCCATTCCAGATTTACTTTGCTCAAATGGTAAGTTCCGTTGACAAACAGCACATTCTCAATGAACATCATCAGAGCCCGGAACATTGCAAACTGAATGAGGCAGAAGCGTAGACGCAGGAAAGCCCATCTATGAGAGGGGTAAATGGAACAAGAAGAGTGGAAAAAAGGATAAAATAACCATAGGAAGGAAACACTGTCATCAACAAACGGAATCACACCAAGTAAAATTCTTTGACAATGCAGCTTTGGACTGCGCTTTTCAGTATTACACCTTGGTACATGTGTGCATATCCCCAATTACTGGGTGCCAATAATGAGTAAAGGGTACTCTTAGATGTGAACAAGGCCTACGCAACAAAAATAAGACATTGCAGATATAACAACTTTGGTATACTGCATGTGCGAACAAATCCCGAGTGGCTCCTCGTTGATTAGACAATTTCTGTCATTACGAAATTCAAGTTATGGGGACAAACATATGTCCCAGTAACAAATTTGCTCCCACAATAATTATTACAGGTTTGTAGTTGTCACAACCAATATGCCAATTACATCACAGTCTTGGCAATCTGCTATGCTCAGATATACAGTGTGGTCATGCTACACCTCTTTACCTTACCTCACTAGTCAAGGGCAGATGGGGGGAAAAACAAGGGCCCTCCCCCATGAGGATTTTTTTAATCAATCAGAGTGAAAACATTAAATGTTTAAATGGAGGTTGTTTTGTATGGGCAGAGACATTTTGTTCAGGAAACTGTTTCTGACATGTCTGAGCAGCTGTTTAATTGTGACTGGTATGATCAGATAATGTACAAGTGCACCGGGGACACTGCCTACTTGTTTTGCCGCCCCCTCCAAAAAAAACCTGGATCTGTCCTTGTCCTTAGTGTGGACATTCCTTTGTTTTCAAAAAGTTAAGAAAAGTCGGTGAAAAACACTCTTTTAACCACTTGCCTCTGCGGTTTCCGAAACTGGGCACCTTGGGCTTGTACGCATGGGGTGCCAGAAATCAGACAAAGGAGCTGGGCCTTGTAACAAAAGACCGTACTCGGAACAAAAGACGGAGCTGCTGGGAATCACCAGCATTTTTTCAATTGGCATTAGTGGAGGTAATCTGTCACTGTTTTGAAACAGTATACCACTATTTGTGGCATTCAGTGCGAGCGGATTTTCACCGGGGATAAAAGCACTCCAGTGATGAGTGATACAATACCACTGCACACTAATCTGGCCGCATTTGAAAAGACGCCAGCAATGCACTGAGTCAATTTCGGGAACAAAGGAAATTGACCGCACAATCTGGGCTCTTTTTACAAGGCGGCAGGCCTGGCTGAAATACTCCAGCATCAATAGATGTTGTCCATCTGCTTAGAGTAGCCACCAGACAGTCATTCGTGTGGGTGTAAATGGTCCAGCAAATGAAGTTATGGATTTTTGAAGAATTTTGAAAATGGAAAATCTTGAAAATCGTCCAGGAACTTGTCCTGCAACTTCAAATTAAACCCGGCAGCAAGTGGTTAAGATGGCTATCTATTGATGGTTCCCTTGATTGAGGTACCCTCACCCCAAAATGCTTGAAATGAAATTCCACAGAGTACAGCCGGCATGATGTGGACCTCTTTTGTTCATGGGTCTATATTAAGTACATAAGGTTGGCACATGGATTACTCACACATGCCGCATGTATGGCATAGGCTGATGTGTGTGACCATGTTTGACCCCCCAGATATCTGCGAGTACTAGATGTATGAGCCCAACGCAAATACACTACTGTGTTCAGGGTGGCCAGACAAAGAATGTCCTCAGAAAGTCTTACTCTGTTAGTTTGATGCTCACTCTCTTGCCGCAGAAGGGAATGATGGGCACCTGGGTGTCGGCAATTTTGAGGATGGCGTGCTCGTAGCCACCAAAGTAGAAAACGATGAGCCCGATGAAGAAGTACACACCCAGGGCGTAGTAACTGAGCAGGGAATCACAAGGCATTCCAACAAAATTGTAGTTGAAAGGATTAAGACTGTTAAAGATTCTAGGGAGTTGGGCTGGGAGAGTGGTACATGTACTCTCCTCACCATTCAACCATTCATGTCTACAGCCTGGGTTCAAATCTGGTATGGGGATTGGGTTTTCAGTCCCTATCCAAAGCTGTTGGTTTCCCCTGAAGATTAATTTTCCTTGTACTTCAACTGAACATTTCTTCGTAGTCTTCTTCCTACAGGTTTCTCATAGGATCCCACCGGAGATAAGTTGACAGCCTTCTGTGGGCAATCCCAGTGGTATGCCAAATGACAAATCAAATTTGGACCACTCTGTCAATTTGAGCCACAAGTCGCCAGAGCCACTTTTGGGTAACAGGTCTTAAAAAGAACTTTGCATCTGAAAATCAATGGAAACCATCAACATTTTTTGCCCGCAAGATGTCCATTTTCATCAGGATACCAGAATGGTTGATACATCAGATTGAAAATCTAAGCTTGCTCTTCTAATGCAAACAAACAAAAATACGGCAAAAATGATCTTACAACTCATCTCCACAGAGCAGGTCACAAACAATCTATGTCTGGTTTTCTGTTTTGATTACCTAAATACATTTTATCGTTTAAGTTTGTATTCAATTGAGCATAGAACTGTATTTTCTCTCATCCTTCTGGCTTCACATCCTGTTTTACCAATTCGTACAGTAACTTACCATGTTGCAGTGAGATTACAGAAGACAGATGAGCGTGGGAAGTAGAGAGAGAAGATGGAAGTTAAGGCAAAGACCTGTAGAGACAGGGAGTCAGACCATGGAGAACAATTCAGACTCTAGCCATTAACTACTTGTGGTAACAACTCACAAGCATTGAAGGTAAAGCCCATCATTTGTCATTTGTGTACTTTGATCCTTTTGAGGCAACAAAATTACTCGAAATCTAGAGAAGGGTGCTTACGAGCAAACCTTGTAAGTTTCAGCCCAGTGAATAGTCCTACTATTTGGAAGAAAAAAATTTTCTAGGATTTGATAATGAATAACAGTAACAACACATGTATTGTATCAACACTTCTCATGGCCTTTTTTATACATTTTCGTCAAAATGAAAGCTTTAAGAGAAATAATATCATAGTGAGTTTATTCCTACAACCGTTTTGAAACCAAGTATGCTTTTCAGCAATAATTTAAACAGTTATTTCTAGGATAACTGCAAATGACGGACTGTACCTTCACTGTGCTTAATCTGCTCTGATAGAGCTGAAATACATTGCATACTCTCATTTGTATCAAATAATGAAGCTTTTATCGGGTAACATCAATACTGCTGATGGCTACATGTGCACGGTGCCCATGAGAACATACTACAGATTTGCAAAACTACTTGAGTAAATGCAATGTCACAAGCATGTAAACAAGCACGTTTTCCATTTTAAAAAACTCTTTTTCCCCCAACGTTAAGCACACATAGAGGACTGACGAATGACGTCATTTGAACCGGGAAGTGTAGTGCAAACGAATGGAGTACGGTTCCTGTGCAAATGCCTGCTACTCACAGAATTGTGAGTGTGATGTCTTCGCTTCGGTACTCTTCAGCACTGCTTGCATAGTCCATCACACCATCTAAAGCCATTATTACACTGCACACTGTGTAATAACGCTCAGTGTGTTGACGGCAGGCATGCATTGTGGGAACATGGGCAAAACTTACTATGGTACGCTCTGATCAACGCTGGCAATGAGTGACAAAAGGTAAACGCACATAACTCCAACTTGTTGAGGGAAAAAAAATGGCACCCTGGCACATGTGAGACCCAGGGGCAAACTTCAATATTTATGATCTACTGTAGCTGGTTTGATGTACTCCTTCACTAGCAAAGAAGGGGAAGGCTGCTCGCAAATTTCCCCATCTGGCTCACAAGCAAAGACCATACAGTCTAACAGAAATAAGCCAGTTTGGTATTCCAACAGCGTATGCCAGCACAAGGCCACTCGGGAACAGCCAAGACAGATAAGTATGACCTATCAACGCGGCAATACACTGATTCATGCGTGCGCTTTGTTCTAGAAAGACAAAAGCCTTTCTGAAATACCGCACAGGCTCACTGGTCACAAATATGTGCTCAGTGCAGCCAGTGTAATGGTGACGAATTTATCTCAACCTCCTTCTCAGGATTGCTATATAATTAGTCCTCCTGGTGTATCTTATTGCTCTTCGCAAACCCACTTTGGCAAAGCTCCTCCAAGTCACATAGGATAGCAAGATTGTCCTGTTTACTTTACAGTCACCCCCCCTTTACACAAAGGAATATTTTTACCTCAGAGGTTGTACAATGTATGTACCAGACAGTTTATTAAGCACACAGGCAGTGAGGAGGCAACATCTACCAATTTTCCTCTCAGCCTGACCCTGCCTCAGCGGGCTCAGTCTGCTAAAGCACTTGGATACTGGGCTCTGCAGAACAGCATTTTTTTCCGAGTAATCTGCCATTGGCACGGTGTTGGTTGGGTTTTTTCTTGGTTCACATGGGTTTCTTCAAATTTGCTTTGTCTATCTCATCTACTGTGTAGAATACCATTTCATTTTTTTGTCAGTTGTCCAGTTTTCTTCTGAGCTTGACTTAAAAGTCTTTTCTTTTGTAAAAAAATCAATCAATTTTGCTTTATTTGAGAATTGAGCTGAGTCAATTCGACTAATTCACTATTCGAATATGCAACCTTCAATTCGATCGAATATCCGAATATTCGTTTGTACCGACCAACAGATTGGTGAACAAACCTTGTACAAAATCAGTTGCAATAACACACACAATTGTACATTATGATCAATATAATAGCCTCTCAAATGTAGGAGTATCTCCAGCCACTATTTAGCAAGATTTAAGAGATGAACAATACTTCTTGCCCTGTTGAGAATTTCTATTCCTTTCAAATTGTTTAATGAATAAATTACTTTTTGAATCGTTTTCTGTCACTTTTCATTTGAATCTGCTTGAAACAAGCCTCCAAGTGCAATTTTTCTCATTTAAAGCAAAAGACAATTTTCCCTTCCTTTTCATGAATTTTGCATTTGAATATTCAAATTTGGAAAATAATATTTGAATATTCAATAACCGATCGAATATTCGGTTATTCGGCACATCCCTGTTTGAGAGGAGTGCATATTGATTCTGCTCTTCAGTGAATCGTGCCTTTCATTTTGGAACCAGGCTTTTTTGGACTGTGACTTTAAGACCGACCATTTTCACTTCTTACACCAGCAGCAAACACACAGAAACCAGTGCACGCATGAGGTGAGTTACCACTGAAGCACCATCACTGCTATGTACAAGCACGCCATCTCTTGTTCTTGCAAAGAGTGGATTTCCATGCCATTCTCACACTTGAAGAGTTGTTAAATCACCTTTAGCATACTTTTAACTTTTTAAAACTTTTTAACATTCCATTATGACTGTTCATGCACCCCTGGATGCCCTCTCAGAAAAAAAGAAAAGACATCAGCCATGTCAGGGAAACCACACCACAGGATTGAGCAGATTCAACGACACCCTAGTTGAAATCCCCAAACTGTTGCTCCCGAGAGTATGATCAATGGGCTTACTGGATAGATGCCGAGGATCCACATGATTCGAATCATCCGGTCCTTGTTGGGAATCCTGTTGAACAGGAAGTTGACGTTTTCAATGAACGCAAAGAAAAGGACCATGGTGATGAACGTCATTATCCAGAAGACACTGGTCAGCATGGTGTCATCAAATATCACTACAAAACAGGCAGAAGAAATGTGCACCATTAAAACAATATTCAAGAGACAAACCACTCTCCATGAGAAAGGGCTATCATAAAAAAATCTGACATCACTTTATCTTTGTTGCACAGGTTTTGGTTAATGTTGTTCATTTACTGAACAGCATTATAAAAAGTTTTCATTTTCAAAAGCTTAGATAAAGGTTAGAGATTAAGATTAAGGCTTCGATCCAGCTGTGGGACAATGCTCCCTGTAAAATACTCCTTCTTGTCAAGCTGTCATTCTGCAAAAAGCAATGAAAGATAGCCATTTCCAAAGATTTGTCCAAAGATGCATCTTTGGACAAATCTTTTCCATCAGTAGTTGGTTGTTAATTATCGGCAAACCAGCAATGCAAGTGTTAACATGATTCAGAGGTCCCATGATTGAGTTGTTGGTCCAGTGCGTAGCATCATGTAGCTGCAATCGACTGAATGAGAGCACGTCCTGGATGCTGAATTTGCGCAATTCGAAACGCGACTTTAAACATTTGATTTTGATATCCTGAAATATTTTTCTCTAAATTCGCTCAGCCCAAATGTCAATAGGTTAGTTGTAGAGCAGCCTTCTTTAGATTTTGAGCATGTTTGTTGCCTCAATAAACATTATGCATAAATGACAAATGATGGACCGTACCTTAAAGATCCAAGGAAAAAGAAGCTGTCAGAAAGTGAAGCACTTTCAGATCTACCAACCTTGGAGGTGTTTTGCTTACTGTAAATTACTATGCAAATATTACCTTATTGTCTTTTTGCTTTCATTCTTTTCTACAATTGACAATTATTTTGTTCTAATGGAAAGAGAACGTGCAGAAAGGGCAAAGTGAAAGTTTGGAATTATCTTCACTTATCTAAAAGGAAATCTACAGGTTCTAATGCATGTACATGTACCTCATAATATCATGCGTCAACAATTTGCAATGCCAATGCAAAAGTTGAAGATGTTCATTGATGCCTGCGTCTATTGAATTTTTTGTGATCCAAGTTAGTAAATGTTCCCACTGAAAATCAATACTGAACTTATAATTACTTCAGACTTTTCTTGGGTTCGGTTCGAAAATCTGATGAACAATTTTCGTGTTCCTTGCCTCCTAATTTTAGCAGTAAAAACCCCATGGTTTCACATCAGCTATCACAAGTATATATAATGACATTCTTATATTGACAAACTGCCTTAATTTTGTAACACTCATAAACAAAACATGACCTTTCTCCAGTTCTGGTAGGAACTGTGCTGAATATTGCAATATCCCTTCACTGGAGCCACACAAAACAAAGAGGAAATCCAAGACAGAAACGGATTTTGCATGTGCTTACCATTGATCATTTCCACCACTGACCGATCCTTCGGGAGACATTGTGATGTCTGATTTTCAGCCATCACGCTCATCTTAGACTGACAAGAGAAGAATGAAAGTGTTTCAGAACAACAAAGAAGCCATATGCCACAAACATCTACAGTCTATTTTGACCAAACAAGGGTGACAGAACATGAAAAATATGGGAAAATGTGCAGCTGTAGAAGACAAATCCAAAACCCAAAACATGACCCATTACCAAACCACTGAATAAGAATAAACAATATTATTACTAACGGCACAAATTCATGCCTTAACCAACAACATCATTTGTGTACGGGACAGCAGAGTATCTTGTTCAGGAGCTAAGTATGAGGTGTCTGAATTCGTTTAGAACTTGTTTTTTTTCCGTTTGCTGTAATACAATGAATCTGTTGAGATCAGATGGTCTTATAATTGAAAACTTGAAGAAAATTATGCAAACTGCTGACAGATGTGAATGTGAAACTTGCACAGCATATCCTTTTGTAGAGAGTGTTAAGAATAATTGTGACATTTAAAGCAAGATTTTAAAATCTAATTACATGTAAATGCTAGTTTTTGCAATTAAAAGATGAAACTTCGTATTGTCTAGTTTCTGATAGCATTAATTAGAGTTGATACAAAATCTCAGACGATTAGCTTCAGAGGTAAAGATATAAATACATGTATCTAGTTGGGAAATAGTTTTATCAATTCCGAGGGTACTGTACTTGGCCAATGCAATTTACCAGTTCTTCATACAGGTCATAATATGAGTACTAACTCACCCTTAACGGAAACTTTTTACCTAGTTGTATGTTTGACAGGAAATATCACATTACGACTCACCACACAGAAAATTCTTGTGTCAAAATACCTGCACTATTCGGTTCACATCCAGACTGCATGTACAAAGACACTAAGAAACTATAAATAGAACTACGGTTACAAAGGTGAGAAACATTTATTCTTATCTGACTCAAAAACTTGGACCACCACCGAACCATGCAAATAATACCAAAGCTTCTGTAATCTTCAGAGAGGACCGGTGGGGAACGAGGCAGACAAAGTTGGCCAAGAGATCATTCCAATACCCTACATTACATACGGGCCTTGTGGGTGCTGCAAAGACACTGCTACCTTCGACCCCTTGATTGTATTTGAAGAGCAGATTAATCCCAGAGCTACAGCGTGCGCCGCTGATAACCGATTTGCACTACAATAACACCAAGATTTAATTAATCATTAATCCAGTTCAAAGTCAAATTTCATTTCTATTTTTGCCCCCTGTGATAGCAGTGATGTTCAACTAAGGTGTAACTTTACTGTAGACAGAAAGCTACCTGCTTCTGATAAGGGAACTGGGAACTATATTTGTGCTTGTAGTAAATCTATCCGATTGCAACACAACCTACCAGAACTTCAAACCTCACCTTTTAAATCTGAACCCACTGCTGCCTTTGGGTGGCTCACTGAATGAGCATTAGTAATCCAATTCTACAATGTCTAAAGGGAAGGGGTGACCAGATCTATTGTAACAAACCTCCTTGGGCTTCAGAAGTATTTAGAAAGGTCCTTGACCAATTTGGTCATACTAAAGTGGAGCTGTCAATCCCTGATCAAGACTGTTTATTTTTCATAAAACTTCAATCCCATTTCCCGTTACTAATGTTTTGAAAACTGCGGTTCATACTTTCCCACGTCAACACCTTCTGATGACAATGATGAGCAGACATAAAGTACCATGAAATACTGCAGTTTGGCAATAAATAAAAGGTATCAACAACCGCTACAATTCATCAATGCTTAGAACAACACAAATGGTCACATGCAACCTTTGTTTCACTTTGTACAATTTTGGTGAAGACTAGTGGTGAGCACTAGTGGTGAGTGGTAGGGGTGGCATTGGAACTGGGAACCAACCCCATTGAGGTACATGTAAAACACAGGTACCAGGCTAACCATGAAAGAAATCTGCACAAGTAGAAACCGATGTGTTGAAATTCTTACTTGAAATGCTCATTAACAAACTTTATGCATTGGAATCTTTTTTAGCATTCCATGTAGCCTGGCTGTGTTTTAAAAGTTTTCCTCCACTGCTTAATCAAACTATACTTCTTCACTGCCTCAAAAATTACTAAGTAATTTGCACAGTTGATTACAGGTATCCCGGTCCAATAGTTTTGGAACTGGTTCCTGGCATCAAGGTTCCATAGTTTTGGAACTGGTTCCTGGCATCGAAGGTCGGGTATACGTACATGGGTGCCTGGTTCCATTGCACACCCTATGGACAATTAACTTCAAATCCTACCAAGTGCTGAAAATCCCTAACCCTTCCAGCCCAAAATCCAACAGGTGGTTTTGGAGGATCTCAGAGCAACTCTTCACTGCACTAACCAGGGCTTGATGCTATTTTGCAGTTACTACACAAAGAAACTGCTACAGGGTAATAAATGGTGTTTCAACTTTTTAAACAAATGATTTGACAAATGAAGTACTACGACCACCATGTAATGCACATCAACTAGGACAATACAAATTCCTGCCACAGGTAATTCTGGGTTCTGATCTTCCAAATTGTGTTTCCCAAATCTGGACCATTTCTTAGACATGTAGCTTCCTCTAGAACTGTGTATGAAAATAACTCTGTACAATACAAACATACTTACATGTACATGTACAAGCGCTGTACAAGAATGGAGTTAAATGCTCGGTGTTGGGGTGAGTCAAGTCGAATAATTCACTATTCAAATATTCGACCTTCAATTTGATTGAATATTCGGTCCTACCAACCGGCAGACTGTTGATTAACAAACCATATACAAAATCAGTTGCCTTAACACACACAATAATTGTATATTATGATCAATATAACAGCTTCTCACATTTAGGAGTGTCTCCAGCCACGATTTAGAAAGATTGAAGAGATGAACAAGACTTCTTGCCCTGTTGAAAATTTCTATTCCTTTTAAATTATTTAACGAATAATTTACTTTTCAAATTGTTACAAGATTTCACACACTTTTCATTTTAATCTGCTTGAAAAAGGCCTCCATAGTGCAATTTTTCTCATTTAAAATAAAAGAAAATATTCCCTTTTTCGAATTTGAATATTCGAATGCAAAATTCATGAAAAGGAAAGGAAAATTCTCCCTTTTCATGAATGTTTTATTCAAATATGAAAAATAATATATTCAAATATGCAACAACAAATCGAATATTCAGTTCTTCGGAACAGCCCTAGCTTCTTCAATGTTTCTTCAATGTAACACTCCGCAGAAAAAGTATCTGAAATCTTCCTTAGGTAAAAGACAATTTACAATTAGAAGATAATGATTTCATTTTTGTAAGTTTGGAATTTGCCAAATTTGGAGTTTGCACATGGATTAATGTCTGGCACACACATCCTGGCAAAGCATTGAACATCTCAAGCTGCATCCGTTATTTGAAAAATGCCATTAGAGATAAGAATTGACAAGCAACCATTTTTTGTCCTCCCTTTATGAACAAACCAAGCTGTCTCCACACTGCTTAATGCGGGTTGTCACGATTAGCCTCAAAATACATTTAAAAGCATGCAATACACGCATTACATTCTGTACAAAGCTTCTCGTCAAACTGCACAGAACTGTATGCCTTGTGCTTTATGTTACTTGTCTTCAACTATGTTCAGGTTATTGGTATACACAAAATTACATTGATAAAACACATAAAGATCAACAGCACCAACAAACAACAAAGAAAAGTCATTTATCACTCCTTTTTAAACTAAGAGGTGTTATTCAGACTCGTAACCACATTCAATGAGTTGGTTTCTTTAATGATTACCGAAGAGGAATTTCAAGGAAAGCACAGGGAATGTACTCTTCAGAGGGGACGCAACCAGTGTTATAGCTACGCCGGTGGGCACCAGTCGGGGATCTCCACCACAGTGTTCTACCGTCTGGCATTAAGCTTGATGAAACAGCCCACTGACCGTCACTAAAATCCGTAAAAATCCAAGAAAAAACACTGGCCACTATGAAAATTTCATATTATATTCCTGGAAGAATTAAAAAAATTTGAACTCTTAATCAATTTGGAAAGGAAAACTCACTGAAAACGTGATCTAGAGTCCCCAGGACCCCCAGCTGTGACCCGCAAGACTCCGCTCACTTCATTCCCTCCCTTTGCCATTACTAAATTGTCCTGAACTAGAATATGGCTGGCTATAACACTGGATGCAACAAATACAAAAATTATTTTCTCTGCATGAAACTCCTTTTACCACCATGCAGGGTAAAAGGTATCACACTCAGCATTACAGCAATTTCATAGCTTGCTGTCTTTCGCACATGTTTATTGTCCAATCCTTTGAACAGCTTTGGTCAGCAATTATTACAAGCATGAGGAGGCTATGGCCTTTTAAGGGATAATTAAGCAAGAACAAAAGTCCCAGGCCTGTTGAATTGCCCTGGGATAACTTCTATCCAATCAGCCGTTACTGAATTTGTGCTAAAATACAGGGTAAGCCCATTTTGTCACAGCCACTCAGAGATTAACAACAGCTTACTTTTTGCTCTCGATCTGTTCACCCACCTCCACCCCGTAACTCCACCTGAGGGTCATTTGGTCAAGGTTACAAGGCAATTATTGCGGATGCAGACAGCCAGTAAAACAATTTTTCTGTTAATTTGGGCATGGAAGCCACTTCATATTAATAAATATGCCTGTAAGTTAAATTGTTTCATAGCGCCTGAAAGTCTCAGGAGGCTATGTTTTGAACATACCATTTTGTAAGACAATTACATGCGTTCGCCATAGCACTCGAAAGTATCACGAGGCTATGTTTTCCTGACTGAATATAAAATCAGTGGGAAGCGGTCACAGGTTATTGTAAGTGTGAAACTGTGGTCAGAAAATGGTTTTGGCTCATGTGCATGTGAGCTTTGGGCATGTGGTATTGCCCACACTGGCACTGCCTCCTTGTGTCGTTGGGGCTCGCAATGCCAAGTTTTGTTGTTGACAGTACACCCGCATGCCTACTCTAGTATCTGGTTGAATAAAATAGCTCAGGCTTTGGCATAATCCCATAATTGTTTTGTCACGTTGTCCTTTCGTTTTGAGTCCGAGTATGAAAACCAGGGCCCAATTTCATGGTGCTGCTTAATACAGTATTCTGTGCTTACGATCTCCATTCTGCACTAACCGCGCGAGCAGAAAAATTCCTCGCTAACTCGTGAAATACGTTCGCCCTAAGCACAGAATTTTCTGCTACGGTAAGTGCCAATTTTCCACTTGGCGGTAAGCAGCGCCATGAAATTGGGCCATGTTATTTCTCTTTTCTCACACAAAATTGTACAAACATGTTTCCCTGTCGCAAAAATACCTCCAGCCGCACGCAGTCCTACGTTTGGGCTGATGGGGGGGGGGAACGAATGAGCTCTCTGCAAAGAGAAGTATAACAACAAGTGACAAGGCAGTCAAATCTACAAGACACTTCTCAACTGTTAACCGAAACTGGAATGGTAACGATTTGTGCAGAACCATGAGCTACGAAATACGCAACAAAACAAGATATAAAAATATGCACTTTGACGTTTAATGTTGTTGGCAGTGTCGAAACTGATCTCCATTGTTTGTCTCTATCTCAGGAGAGGGTGTTACGACGACTGACTCCTCATCTTCGGCAGGACTATAGTCAAACCCCAACAATTGCAATGAACAGGAACTGTTGATGCGGTCTCAGCTGCAGTGTTCATGAGGGGTGATGGATATGACCACTCGTACCCTTACTGCACCGGTCGGCTCAGCTCAAGCCCGATCCGTGCCTTGGACTCATCCTCGCTCCTCTGAATGGACAGCACCCGCACCACCACCTTGTCCCCAGGGCCCAGGGGCTGGCCCTGCTTGAGGAAGTCCTGCCGCATCTTGCTGATGTGAATGAGCCCATTGCGCCCCACCCCGATGTCCACAAAAGCTCCAAAGTGGGTCACATTGGTGACACGGCCCGTCAGCTCCTGGCCACTGCTGAGGTCCGAAATGGATTGCAGGTTTTGCTTGAACAGGGGTTTGTCATATTCTAAAGGATTAAAAAATTAAATTATATTATACATAATCTTCCACCCATGGTTGCCTCATGGAACAAGACTGCTACAGCAGGGAGCCAGACTACTCAGAAATGAGGCCATTACGTAATGTATGTGGGTCTGTCCACACTATGTGACATTCAATACTAATTCTCAACAGTAAATCTTGCCATTACTTTTTGCTTACACAAGTCTTCACTGTTTCTGATTGCTGACACAGTAAGGTAAAGATAAATTGAGCAGTATTTAAGAAATTACAGAAGTTTATTCTTGAATATATAAAGTTTTTCACATGGACAGATACTTTGTTTCTTAAGTATGAAAATTCAATTCAAAACACAACCGAAAATGACCTACAATGTATTAAATACTCTTTTTAGTTTATTTTTAGAAACTTTCATTATCTCATAAAAACATTCCAGTGTACATGTAGATAACACTGAAATTTATTTCCAGAAAAAATGTAATGTTTGTCACTGGACAAACATCAAGTTTGTCAAGGAATTTTCCAGCCATGTAACAACCCTCTTCTGACAATGGGAAAAGCACCTTGCCCAAAGTATTGCAGATATTTCCTGCATGGTGCTACTACAAACTTTAATACCCCATCAAATCTCCTACATTCTGCCTGTACCTATGACCCACCTGCCCTGATATCATAGCCCATCGGTTGCTGGAGACCATCTAGGATCAGTTTCATTGTTGGTTCACCGACATCCAGATCCTTGGCGAGTTTCCCTGTGCCTGGAAAAGAAAGGAACAGACATCTCTTTTTCTAAAACTTCTTTGAAACATCATGCCGAAGTGTAAATCAAATTGCTTTCTTTTCAAGTTTTGTTTCTCATGGCTGATAAACCCTTTCAAATGAACAATAAAAGAGTATCTAAAAAGTCAGAAGAGATTTCCCAGCAAGGTGGATGACACCCCAATGGGTCAGGAGTGTGATATTTGTCACAATATAGCTAACATCACTCCATCTACCTGTAGATAAATAATAATTTCCACTTGAAAAGAAAATAACACGTTCAGTCTTAGGTATAGGGGTTTTCCATACCTTCTAAATTCCGCAAATTAAAAGTGAACTGAAAAGCCAGATTGGAAGTTTCTGTTATACCTTTCTAACTGTGACCACATAAAACACAACAAACTTAACTGTGAGTAATATCTCCTTTGACTTTGTGAATAATTCTAATTAAATGTCCCGTACATGTTTGTTTTGTCAGTCAACAGAGTCACCCATCTATTACAAATCCGGTATATCGTCGCCAAAATGACCCAACACTCCTGAGCCTCGGATTCGTCAAACTCAAGGGCCAAGGCAGAGTTTAGGTTTATATTTGGTGATTTTTCCAACAGATCTGGTACAACCTAGACTGGCTCACTGGGTATGAAACCCCACAGTATGGGAAGAAAAATTTCACTGAAAGTACAATTAACTTACTTGTAGCTTGCAGTAACTTTTGGACTTTGGTTTTCATAACTGCGGTCCCAATGTCGCTGGCACAGGCATCAGCCCTTGCGAGAACCCTGGCAAGGAAAGAAAGATCATCTTTGTCTGGAAGTAACTTGTAATCATGTGGCCTGGTTCTGATACCTTTTATCTTCTTGTTCACAACTAAAACCCAATCAGTTCAGCTTCTGCAAATCATGCACGAAACTATCTGATTTTGCACCGCCAACTTGTCACCACTGATGATCGTGATGTTTGCCGAACTGACAAGAGGGAGTCACACTTTACATGAACTCAGAGAATGATGACATTGACGATCTGGCATTCTTTGAGAGCATATCACCTCATTCAAACATAATATCAATATAATTCACACGCATGTACTTTCAACTAGTCATTTTCTATTTATCATTACACAATGATTCTAATTGAATCCATAAATGCATTTTATGATCAGAAAGAAAAAAAAAGGGAGCATCTGTAGGGAAAGCAGTTGGAGCAAAAAATCTTGCCTGAAAGAGTCGACTTCAAAATCTGTTGATTTACTTGAGGTAATTCCCATCTCTCTGTCATGGGCTTACCTAATCCCATATGGCCATTTCTAGTATCCCTATGGCAAAAACCTTTTTTTTGGCTGAAAAACAAGCTAATTCAAGGAGAGAGAGCATGGCCATTATTTCACAAGACTGTTTTCCCATTGCAGGTTCTCTTTTTTTTTACTGTATTATGTGATGCCAAACTGATCATAATGCCACAGACTTCCTAACATCCACATATAGCCCAACAATTCTGAGTGCTAAGCTAATTATGAACATGTGTAAAATGACACTCTCAACCAACAAAAACACATTCCTCCATATGTGGAAACACAACAGCTCAGCTTTAAACAAGAAAAGGGTGACGCTTGTCTTACTTGTTTGCGATGTGGTACGATTCAGGATGGATCCAGGTCATATCCAAAGGATTTGGCGCTACGTCCGTCTTCCTCTTTTTCGCATTGCCCCTTCCGCTGCCGACAGCTTTTCTTTTTGATCCAGCTCTTGTGACCGTGTCATCACTGGTAGTCGGATCTGTGACTGAACTGTCGAAAATAACAAATGATGGGCAAAGTTCAACAAATTGTTTTGGATTACTTACAGTGGAAGACTAAGCTTCCAGTAGATCAGGTTTTTTCTTGTACAAGTTGGCCTTTACAATGAACACGTCATAAGAAAAGGGTATTTTGGCCAACATGTCTCAGAAAAATGAACATTTTGCAAAAAAGGGTGTCCAATTCTCCTAAAAATTGGTGTCAAACTTTTGAGCGGCAAAATGGTACCTCTGTGTGCTGGAGTTGGTGGGCCCTGGCCGAACTCGGACAAATCCTGCACACTGCTGGTAGGTCTTTGGTCCGAGTCCCTTGATCTCAAGGAGCTGCTCTCTGTTTGTGAACCTGCCGTTCTTCTCCCGGTACTCAATGATCTTCTTAGCCCTTGTGACATTCAAGCCGGCTATTTTCCTAATGTTGGAAGAGAAAGTCAATCCCAATCTGTTTGAGCCACTTTTGATGAGATCTGCATGGTGTGATCAGGAAGGAAGTCACATTTGCTGCATAAAGCCTTCTATAATACCACACCACAAGTTCCAATGCAATGTGGGTAGAAGCCATGCTCCATTGAAACATGAGATCCAAGACATGCTTCCAAAATAAATGACAGACAAAACCAAGGTAAACTTTTCAAACACCATTAGTTTTGAAATCAGACTGGCGGTATATACATTTACTTTCATTCACTATTGTTCACCGAATGGCTTTGAGGAGAGTAGGAAGCAAACAAGCTTTCACATAACAACTTTGACCTGGCCAGTTTACATGTGCTGCTATCACATATCAATGCAAATTATGTTATCTTAAATTACATCAATGCTAAGAATCAATGCACATTAGGATAGCATCCTACAGTGCATAGGGTCAGCATCTTTATCCCAGTCAGAACATTTGATCAATATCTGTGACATGACTATTTCCTGACTATGCATGTACCTTAGAAGGCTTTCGGAGCAGACATTGAGATCAATGCCCACGAAGCTGACGCACTCCTCCACCACGCCGTCAAGTGCCTCCTTCAGAAACTTGTCATGAATATCATGCTGAAATGTAGCACAAGGCACAAAATCAGTTCACGGCAGATGTGTCATTCACTACCAGTACAGTGAGATCTGGGAGATCAGCAATGACCCTCCCACGCCTTTGTGTACGACAGCTGGCGACATTTACATGTGGTTGCTCAGATTTGTGGTTTTAACTAGCACTCCAGAACAATGGCACCTGGAAGAGTGACCGACACTGTGTTGGTTTTTTAAAGTGTCAGACCTTGGGTGCAATCTTCAAGAGGCTGACGGTTCAAATCTAGCTCCGTTCATGTTTTGCTTAACAAAAAATGCTGATGTACGTCGCGATCTGTGGGAAGTGACGTCATTTGAGAGAGACCTATAGGAATGACTAAACCATCTAAGGTATTTATACATGTATTTTGAAATTATGTTTAGAATTTATTTTTCAACAGATATCTTGTTTTTTCATTAGGGGAACTATCAACACATAATGAATGCTGCTTCAAAGGTAAACCGTGGATCTTTCACTCCACTTAAAATGAACTCTACTGGGGTCTAAAAATGAGTTTGAACTCTGTCCCTCTCCAATCCTTCAAAATCTGCCGGGAGGTTTGGACAGATCTTGTTGGATTGAGAAAGGTTAAGGTCAAGCCAATATCACTCTATTAGGTCTGTTCTTTTCAAGTCACAGTCGTCTTTTCCCTAGGAGTGGCTGCTAAAACTACGGCTGGTTGTTGGTTCAGTAAAAGTAAAAAAAATTCACAATGTGTTTACAACTACCAAGCAGCTATCATAACACCAGATGACAATACAGATATTATTAAATGCTTAATAAAATAAAGCCCTCTTTAAAAATTAATGGGACAAATGTGTTTTTTGGTTGGATTTGACATAAAATTTTGACGTAAAATCAAAAACAACCAAACGGGGATATTTCTGCAAACTTTTGCTGTCCATAAATGTTGCAGGCCAAATGAGAGTGGCCTATATTGGGGTTTATACACGTACGAACTGAAAAAGAATGTGCCGTTGGTTTTAGTGCAACAAGGGAAGACTTCAGAGGCATCAGGGAGCATTAACGCCAACTGGTCAGGATAAGAATTTGTGGTTCCATTTGTTTTTTTTTTTTTAATGCACACCGTCCAAAACGGGCCACGAAGGCTACTCAAGGTGAAAGAAAAAGAAGACAATCAAAGGCTGTAAGTTCACACTACACTTAAACTTAAGAGTGGTTGCAGGGACATGGAAAAACCGCATGGAAGTGGGAAATTCGGAAGTGAAAACAGGTGGCCTTGGGGACAGGTCTCTAGATGTGATTTGTACAGAGGTGCTAGGAGTTCGTTCAAAGGTGCCAGTGTGAGTGACAACCACTGAAAGACCGTTGCAACATGTTCCCAAGTGGGGGAAGATCCCGGGAGTGGCCCTTACGATCCAGCCAGTGTTCCTACCTGGTACATGCCCACCCCAATGTGTTTGGGCTCTATCTTGACAAGTTCAACAAGCGGATCTTGGAGTCGCCTTGCAATGGATACTGCATACAAGGGGGTACAAAGAAATGCAAGTAAGAGAATCTCATCAGATGCAATCAACGTTAGGATCTCTTGTCCGATTCTCCGATTCTAACAAGAGACTGATGTACACACAAAAGCATCACTTCATTACCGTAAGACTATCCAAAACTCATCAGCCTGGAGGTTGACCACAGTTTGTTATGTCCCAACTGTCAGTCCCAATTGTCAGTACCAACAGCTAGGACAGTTCCAACTATAGTACTATTGTTGACCACAGCTTATGTTATGTCCCT